TTTGGGAGATCATAGTGACTGTCATAATTCAAACAGCATTGTACAACTGCCGTGGGTGCAAAAGAAAACATTCATTTTTATGAGTACAGTGAAATCAAGGGCGATTTTGGATAACTTTGTCACCCTAGGCTCTGATAGAAATGACCTCGGTCGAAGTAGCAACGAAGATGTTGGAATATTACCAATTTTACCCACCACTGTTTCGTGGGGGTGAGGAGTCGGCCATTCTGCAGTTCTCAAAGTACCAGAGTCTCGAACTCACTGGCATAAGTCGACCTGTCTCTGAGGCTATTGCTATGGCGAATGAGCACTTTCTGCACTGTGTGGCGGAGAATCCGATGCGGCCACGTGTTCTGCGCGTCTTTCTTGAACCTACGCCCTACAACCAACTCAACTACATGGACTACTTCAAGGTGAGCTCAGCCTGACACAGTAAACCTCACAGACGTTCTGTCTATGGTCGTAGGCGTGAAACCTTGGCTGCACAACACTACTGTGTTTGTCGTGCTCACTAACAATGTGTTGAGGAACTAACAATCACTGCAACCCAGGCATTTCATTGTTTTACTGTGACGCTATTGGCCTGACAACTTAAACTGATGCCTGAGGTCCCTGCTAATGTAACTATTATCAGCCCTACTGGTCCCGCCATACACTTCCTCAATCTATTTCATCACCACCTAGTCTCTCCAAACAATAAGACCTAGTGGTAGGAGTGATTCAACCAAATTTTTTAGACTAAAAGGTATTCTTTCTTCTTTCGCTTCTCTTCCTTATTCGACTGAGCCCCTCGTTAACCACAAGACCTCATAGCTGGTAGTGCTAAAGTTGATCGTACACTATCACAACTGTCAGCTTTTTGGATGTCAGAAGGAGCTTACCTAAAGAGGTTCCAAAGCCTTGCCTTTTAGTTTGCCCCTTAACTGACATGCCAAATTCAAATGGAATAAGCAATTAATCGTTTCTCTTACCAGCAAATGTCAAAATAGAGGCGGTCCTTATTTCCCACTGAAGAGAATGTTTCCTACAGTAGAATTCCTCATCCTCTTGCCCTTAAACGCTTTTCACTCTATACTGAGTCCGCATCAAAGAAGTTTGGCTGCGAGTGTTTCTAGTAAATTTGCAAATCTTTCCTTACTGCTGTAGAGCAATGCACGCAAAGAAACAATATCTTAAAATACACACATGTGGAACTTGCGAGACTTTGCCGAAGACCAAAGAAGACAAAGCACTCCGACAGGGTAGATGAAGTGTTGAAGTGCAGAAAATCTTGAAAACTTCTTGCATAAATCGGAGGCAAGCCTACTCCGGGAGAGCACGATGGCAGCACCTTAGTCGTCCGAGAGTTGGGCAGTCTTCTTCTTGATCAAACTATTACAACTGGGTTGGTGCTGTAAGCAAATCATGAATTAAACAAATGTGGCACTCATTGGAATTCCAAGTAAACGAGCTCTCTTGGCATTTTTCTGGTTCTGGAGTTGTGTTCCCAATGAGAACTGGATTGCAGAACGGAGGAGTGTGCCGTTCATCACTTGTGTCCATTGCCGACCACGGAAGCACTGCCTGAAAAGTAGAGCCAAGTAACGCAACCTGCTGGGGATGAGATTTTGCGTTTGTTTATGCGTGCCACGTTGCTCCCACTTTGGTACTACGTAGTTATGTCTATCTAGATTTCATTAAGGTAGTAAAGAGATGGAGGATGTATTGTAAGCTCACTTAATCGACATTTTCAGACAACTGCCGTGGGCAACTCAGTAGGCCGTGTTTTGCAATAGCTACGCCAACTGCTAGTAACATGGCGCTAAAGCAGTTGCTGGAGATGGGCATCATTTACAGATTCTTTTTTAAGCTCTCAGCTTGATCGCCCAACAACGGAGATCTGAGTTAATCCGAATTAAACTGAGATCGGCTTTGCAATGCTACCAGTCGCGATCTTCCCGAAGGTGTGAGGCAAACCCTTGCCAATTTTTAAACCTGTGTGTGCTACTTTTTACTTGCCTTATTGTCTATCAATTTTTTTTCTTTCTCCTTACATTCACAGGGGCGATTAGGGTTTCGAGAAAGGAAGTAATCAAAGTTTTTCTTCTGTATGATCAAAAATACCATCAAAAGTCACCTCATTTGTAAGGCGACTGTACTGCTAACGCTACGCATTTATCATGGGTTCCAGTTTGACTCATGGCGAATAGCCCTCTGTGAAGGTCTGCATACGAAAGCGAAAAGGGGATTAGCTTGACGCCAGGGGTTCATCAGCAGTTAATGTTTGGAAACTGAATTAGCAACCGAAAGTGGGAAATTCTCTACACAATAAGGAACATGCGAATACTTTTCTGACTAAACGCAATCATCTCTAGTTTAATTTTTCGCACTTCCAGCGTATTTTCATCTCTAAGTTTGTCTTGTCTTTCTCCATCTCACTACGATGAATTGGGTGCATGTCTGGCACAGCACTTTTCTGCATACTCCATGAAATTCTCAGCCATATGGAAAGTCGTTCTGCCAGATTTAAGAAGGATAGAGCAGCACTAACGTTACTCCGCCTAAGACGGTTTTGCAAACATCCACTCCTTTCGTGTCTATGCATAAATTATGGTTCTGTGCACGCATGCGGAGGAAGGAGCGGAGCAAATGCCGCTCCATTCTTTTGAGCAGCTTGGAAGTGATAGAATCATAGATGAGGAAGAAACAAATACTCCAAGAAAAGGCCACATAACCTGACCTCACCTAATTTGCTTCGCATTTGACGATAACTCCTTCTCCTGTCGACAAAGTGAAGTTGACGTTATCACTCTTACAATCGTAAAGAGCTGCTTCCTCGACACTCGTCAACTGATTATCGTTCGCCTTACTCGAGGTTGTCGCCAGGATGCACGCAGAGCTGTTTAGGAAGGTGGAAGTACAGACGCTCTTAAACTAGCCGGAAGTAATTTAAGTGCTGCTACATCACTACAACTTTCACAATTGTTATAGATTATGAATATGTTGACTTGTCAAATTGTGTTCAATTGCACGCGGGGCCTGCAACCTTATGTTATCTAGTTAACTCACACCGACCAGCAACATTGGGACGGTATGGGGTACGCGAATGAGCTACTGTGAAGTTACGTCTGCAGTTGGTTGAGAGACTTCTGTAAAAGTCAAACAGTGAAAAGTGTTGACTTTTTGTGACGATTTATATAGTCCTCTGTGTGTGTGTGTGTGGAGGAGATAATAAAAGCCCTTGGCGTGGAGGGAGTTCGATCACGCAAAGCTCCACTCACGCTGCTGCCACTGCCCTTGAGAGAAGGCAGTGGTATTGAGGCTTACTCACCCCTTCGCAAGACAAACGATTGCCCTCCTCTCACTACCTCTTTGTGTGTTACAACATTGGGGCGGATCAGCCATTTCGTACACGTGATGTTAAACCTTGGAGTGTTTTGCACCTAAAGCG